CTGGCCGGTCCAGGGACGAGGAGCCTGGAGCCCAACACTTAGTCACAGCGACGGCCAAGTAGACCCGTCTGGACCGTGCCTGGACCACGCCTGGACCGCAGCAGGACCCGATGCTGGGACCTTTGCGACCCACACTGCGCATCTGTGGTCGAAAACATCCTGTCGTTTCAAATCTTTCGAATTCTAGGGGAACATGTACAAATCGATCGACACCATCGCAACATAACGTGCCACATGATGCCACACGTTTGGGTCCTAGGGAGAGAGGGCGGAGCCTTCTTCAAAGGTGACCTTGGGGAGTACTGGAAATATTACTTCATATTCCTCATCGGTGTGGGGCAAAATCCGCATGGACGGTGGCAGACCCTGATCTGACCAGCTGAGGTTTTAAAACTCAGCGGTGATCGCCCAGAATATCAGCCACACACGCCGTGGGGCAGGGCGGCTCTGGGTTCCGAGGGCTGAGGTCAGAACAGAGTGGACGGTCAGTGCCCACCTGGAGGGCCGTGCCCACGGGCTGTGAAGCAGAGCAGACCTTCCCCAGAGGGCTGCGTACGGAGCCCGGCGACCCCTCTGGGCGCCTCGGAGTTCCCGCTCGGGCCGGGAGCGGGGATGCTGGTGCACGTGTCGCCAGGATGGACCCAAAATTGTGCTAATATCTCATGATGTAAAAAAAAAACAAAACAGGTCTTGACACGTTTGCCCGACAGCTGCCTCCCCTCGTGCCACGTGGCTGTCCTCTCGTGGCACATGGCGCTTGGTCCCCAGGGGTCATAATAATGACGGGGAAGTATGGCTGATTTTCTCACTTCTCTCCCTAAAACATATGGTCATATAGAGAAAACAAAATTCTTTAATAAATTACTGGAAATCAAGAGGAGACCCTGAAACAAATCCTCGGTCAAGGATGCAGTGGAGACCGCCGGGTGGGTGGAATGTGGCAGGACGGCCGAGGTCGGCCCGGCTCGCCGTTGCCCTGGTAACACCCCCCACGTCCCATGTGGCACGGACGCTCAGCCGGCTGTCCCGGCCACGCTGTCCCTCCTAGTTGTCTTTGTGCCACAAATAAAAGATGATGAAATTGTAGATGTGGTGTGAATTTCGTGACTTTGGGCCACCAGGAAGGTGAATTCGTTGATTCAGCCAGTAAACGTTTGCGGCCGCTGGGGGCGAAGCCGGGCTCACCCTCACGCCGGCGAACCCACAGCTGGCTCTGCCCTCATCGCCCCCGGTAGATGGTAAAGCCCAGGAGGGACTCTGCTGTCTGAGGGGACTGGGGCACACAGCGCTTTTAATGCGGAGAGGAAGTGTCTGGGTGTCCTCCCCCTGGGCCCCCCGGAGGCAGGCACCCCACGCGCGGCGTCTGTGGGCTTGGGGTCGCCGGGTCTGGATCAGGGACGGGGGACATTGCCCTGGAACTGTAGAGCCCGGATCTTGCTCAAGGACACAGCCGCTGCCCTGTCCTGCGACCTGGTGTCACACCGGCATCCACTCGGTCCCATGGGCAACCTCATCCCTCCCGCTGTCTTGGGCAGCCCTGTGAGCGATGCAGATGCCCTGTAGGAAACAGGCCCACAGGGACAGGGGACACGTCCCGGGAGCATCCCCGCCCCGGCCACGTGCCAGGCGGGCTCGCGCAGGAGCCTTGGCAGGGGGCAGCACAGGGACTGGGCCTGGGGGTGGCCTGCAGGGGCTCCTGGCTCCGCTGGTCCCACCAGGGCGGGGGCATCCCACGGTGGGGGTTCCAGCCCCAGTGAGGGGCGAGGGAGAAGTCGCACACCCACCTGCCACCCCTGAAGAGGCAGCTGTGGGAAGACGGCCCAGAGGTTAGATCCACGGCAACGGCTGCTGTGCTCTCCCGCAGACGAGGAGCCGGCTCAGCGGACGTGACTGCCGGGGAGGCCCAGCTGAGGCAGGCTGAGCAGGCCCAGTGGGCCCGCCCGGTGCCGGCGCCGCCCCTCTGCTCCCATGCCCCGGGCGGCAGGCCAGCGTGGGGCCCAAGGGACACAGTGGGGGGCCCCCTCCCCGCCGGACTCCCTGTCAGCGCCATCTGGAGCATCCCCGCCGACACGGAGCGCCCGACGGTGGGCTCCTGGGCAAAGGCGGCCATGTGCCTGAGCCGGGGCTTATTTTCTCCACATTCCCTCACGTCCACCAATTTTCTTTATTAAGCGAGTGCTTATCTGATCTTTTAAAAATGGCCCGTCACTGCGTGTGACTTGCAGCCTGCCCGGGTGGGGGACACGGCTCCTGGTTCCCGTGTCCCTGGTCCCCGTGACCCCGACAGTTTCTAGTTCAGACTCAACGCCCCAGGCGTCGCCGTCAGCCCCGGCCTGCGAGGGCCACCTCGCCGACGTGATCTGTCGCACTGGAACGGCTGGCTCGGCTCAGGGGAATGGCCGACCGGTGTGGATGCTGGGGACGTCACACCTGCCACTCACACGTCTCTGGGGTGTCAGATTCGGCCCACGAGACGGGCTGGCAAGGGGCACGTCGCAGGCGTGATCCTGGCTCTGTCACACGGTCCCCCAGGCCCCGCGACAGGGACCGTGACTTCACCTCTGAGTTTCCTCATCTGCGACAGGGGCCGCAGTGCAGCGCGGACACCAAGGCCGTGGCCGCTTGTGCAGACGCGCGCACGCCGAGCCCGGGGCCCGCAGGCCGAGGCCGCCCCGTGACGACGGCCGTTGTCACGTAAGCCCGGCTGTTTGGCACGGAGTGGGGGGGCGCTGCTCTGAAGGGACCGGAGCTGTGGGTCCAGGTCTGGCCTGTACTGCTCGCAGCCCTGTGGCACAGGCGGGTCACTCACCTGAGCCTCGGCCTCTGTTTGGAAGGGGAAGGACTTGGAGTTAGACGCCCCGCATTCTGGGATCCTGTTCACGACAGAAAAGTCTCTGCTGCTTCTGTCAGCCAGAGTCCAAGCAGAGAGGTCCCACTCGGATGGGCAGTTTGAGGAAAATTCGATGCAGGGCCATTTACCAAAGTGAGGGCAGGACTCAAGGACAGGAGCAAAGCCAGGGCCAGCCACGGGGACGGTCTTGACCAGCCCTCGGGAAGGGCGAGGGGAGGAGCAGCTGGCAAGGGTCCTAGAGGTGGCCGAGCACAGGAGGCCTGGCCTTGGAGAGACAAGTACAGCCACTGCTGAACGGCGGCACCAGTAATAAGTGCCCCAAACCGCCCCTCTGCCCTGCGGGCTCCCCCAGTACACCCCAGGGCCAAACCCACCCAGAGCTCAGGGCAGGGGCCACCACGCGGTCCATGCAGCCGGCCTCCCAGGGTGGAAGGGAAGGGGCAAGACAGGGAAGGTTCCGGAAGGTCAAACAGAGTGTCCCCCCCGACGCCTGATGATGAAGAGGCGACAAGAACCAAAGCTCAGCACGTCGCCACGTACTGGGGTCCGAGGGCAGGTGACCTCCGGGGCCGACACGCCCGGCCAGTGCTCCATGGCGTGGACTCTGTCTCTTCCAAGCGACGCGGGTGCACTTGTCCTCGGTACCCACAGGAGGTTTGCAGCTCTCTGCTTCCGCTTCCGCTGCCGCTGCCGTGACACAGGAAATGTGCCCCCCCCCCTCACCGAAGTTAACCGTCCATGCGCTTCCCGCCCTAGATGATGCACGTGGCCGAGGGAGCCACGGCCGCCCCAAGGTGACCTTGCCATTAGTAAGCGTGCCTGACCGCACGCATAAAAACTCAGTCTCGTGTTCTAATCATCAAGCTTCAGCAAGCTACTTTATTCCAGTGTCATGAGGGCTTGAAATGAGCCAACTCCGAGGGGAAAAAAAGTTGAAGAAATTGGACCATATTGATGAATTACAGGTTTATCGCAAAGGTAGTGATTCACTAGTAACGTGGAATTTCCAGGGACCCAAAATGGGGACGAGCTGGAAGAGGCCAGCAGTATGAGTTGGGCACCATCACCTTCCGGTTAGTGACTGCGCGGCCGTGTGACAAACCGGTCAGCTCTGCGAGTCCAAGGAGATTTTGAGGCCGAAGAGAGCAGAGAACAGGTCTGAGCAGTGAGACACGGCCGGGCGTCCGCAGAGCCGTCTGCCTCCTCCTCGCATGCGGTGACCACGGGAGCCGCTGTGTGCCGGGGCCTGGGCCACGTGCTGGGGGCCAGCGAGGTCAGGGCCATGGGTCCCCAGCACAAGGAGCTTGGCCCTGTGGGAGGGAAGGGAGTGGAGGGGCGTGTCACGGGGCCACGCTGGGCATGTCCACTGTGGACAACGCTGCATTCGTGTTATGTGGACGAGGCACATGGCAAAGCTGTGACATGCCGGGCGTGGCGTGACAGCCCTGGTGTTGTGAGGATGGCAAGTAAGGCCAGCTCAGTGCCCAGGGGAGGACAAGGAGCCCCGTTTGCTGCCAGCAAGCCAGCCTGCGGGGGGCCGGTGGAAGGCAGGTCTTCGCGGAGGGTCCCTGGCCTCACGCTGCCTCTCTGAGGTGTCCCACTGCGACTTGAGGAAAAGCCCCTTACCTCCAGGCCTCGACCCTCCAGGCCCACGGCAGCACCGACAGCTGCCTGTCCTGCACCACAGAGCACGTGGGGACACGCAGCGCCCCTTCCTTCTGCGCCGGGGAGCTGCCCCTCACAGGAATTCAGCCCCCATCTGCCTTCCAGCCACCGTTTTTTTATACGCCGCCGGGAAAGGATGTGCAGCCAGGCGAGCCTGGCGGTAATTAAAACGTGACAGCACCTGTCACAAAGAACGCTTGGCAGAGGGCCGCCCGGAGCCGCACGGCCGGGAGCAGGCGCCCGGGTCTGCACTGGCACCGGCGAGGCCGGAGAGGGCCGGCTCTCGCCTGCACGTGACTCCCGGTTGCCGAACAGGACACTTTTGAAAGAGCGGAAGTGTGTGCGGGCTTTGGGGACGATTGAGCACGTGCAGGAGGAAGCAGGGGCGGGGGCACCTTGTCCAGCTGGCACCCTCTCAGGCCGGCCTGGCTGCCTGGGCCCGGGGA